CAATGTTACGAGGTGGAGGTAAATGACGTCCAACATAACTTACGTGCCATGATTATCCTGTTTGTATGTGCCCCGCCACGGTGGTCTAGTGGCTAAGGTACTCGGCTGCTGACCCGCACGTCGGGGATCAAATCCCGGCTGTGGCGGCTGCATTTCCGATGGAGGCGGAGATGTTGTACGCCTGTGTACTCAGATTTGGGTGCACGTTAAAGAACCCCAGGTGGTCAAATTTCTGTAGCCCTCCACTACGGCGTCTCTCATAATCAAATGGTGGTTTTGGGACGTTAAAACCCACAAATCATGTTTGTATGTTTCGTTTACCTTCATCTATTCAAGTCACGTGACACCAAATTTAGTATATGTGGAGCAAGCGAAACGGCCGCGAGCGCATCATGAAGGGCCCAATATACTCCAATGTAGCGTTGACGCACATGCTCGCTGGGCACAGCGACGCTGCATTAGCAAAACGCGAGCACTCTATGTTGACGCCAGGGGCAACCGGCACGACCAGCATCCGTCGGCGCGGCCTGACGGCAACCGGCGCGAAATGCGACACGCGAAGTTTCGCGCCGATGCGTTACCCAGACAACACTGCGTATCCCTCTTTTCGTGACGGGGGGACACCGGATGAGCTGAAACTAGCATGCGTCAAAGCAACGCAGAGCGGCTTGCGCCTGCGAGTATATGGCATGACCGGCGCACGGCGTGGCAACGTAGGCGTGATGCCACAAAATGAAACGCCAAAGAACACGTGCATCGCGTCACTTCGAAATGCATTGGCACGTTGACTGTGGCGTGTAGTCATGTTCTCACATGACGAATCTCATGATTATCATGTTTGCACCACTAACATACATTCGTCATCCATTGGCGTCACGTAATACCGAATATAATACCGTAAAACTGAAAGAGGCAAAGCTGCTGGTGAGGATCAGGTCACATCAGATCTGCTGAAAGATGAAGGACAGATTGTGTTAGAAAAACTAGCCACCCTGTTCACGAGGTGTCTCCTGACGGGAAGGGTACCAGAGTCTTGGAAGAACGCTAACATCATCTCAATACATCAGAAAAGAGATGACAAGGACTTGAAGAATTACAGGCCGATCAGCTTGCTATCTGTAGTATACAAGCTATTTACAAAGTTAATTGCTAACAGGGTAAAGAAAACATTAGAATTCAATCAACCAAAGGAACAAGCAGGATTTCGAACAGGCTACTCAACAAATGACCACATTCATACTATCAATCAGGTAATAGAGAAATGCTCAGAGTATAACGAACCACTATACATAGCCTTCGTAGATTACGAGAAGGCGTTTGATTCAGTAGAAATATCAGCCGTCATGCAGACACTGCGGAATCAGGGCGTAGATGAAGTATATATAAACATTCTGGAAGAAATCTACAGGGGATCAACTGCTACCATAGTGCTTCATAAAGAAAGCAACAGAATACCAATCAAGAAGGGTGTAAGGCAGGGGGACACAATCTCCCCAATGCTATTTAGCGCGTGCTTACAGGAGGTTTTCAGAAGCCTAGAATGGGAACAGTTAGGGATAAGAGTTAATGGAGAATACCTTAGTAACCTGCGCTTCGCTGATGACATTGCATTGCAGAGTAACTCAGGGGACGATTTGCAACTCATGATTACGGAGTTAGACAAGGAGAGCAGAAAGGTGGGTCTTAAAATTATTCTGCAAAAAATGAAAGTAATGTACAACAACCTCGGAAAGGAGCAGCGCTTCGAGATAGGTAATAGTGCACTTGAAGTTGTAAACGACTGTGTCTACTTAGGGCAGGTAATAACCACAGAGCCTAACCACGAGATTGAAGTAACTAGAAGAATAAGAATGGGGTGGAGCACATTCGGCAAGCACTCTCAAACAATGACAGGTAGATTGCCACTATCTCTCAAGAGGAAGATATATAACAGCTGTATCTTGCCGGTACTTAGCTACGGAGCAGAAACCTGGAGACTTACAAAGAGGGTTCAGCCTAAATTGTGGACGACACAGTGAGCAATGGAAAGAAAAATGGTAGGTGTAACCTTGAGAGACAAGAAGAGAGCAGAGTGGATTAGGGGACAAACGGGGGTTAAGGATATCATAGTTGAAATAAAGAAGAGGAAATAGACATGGGCCGGGCATATAGCGCGTAGACAGGATAACCGCCGGTCATTAAGGGTAACTAACTGAATTCCCAGAGAAGGGAAGCGGGTTAGGGGGAAACAGAAGGTTAGGTGGGCAGATGAGATTAAGAAGTTTGCGGGTATAAATTGGCAGCAGCAAGCACAGGACCGGGTTAACTGGCGGAACATGGGAGAGGCCTTTGTCTTGCAGTGGACGTAGTCATGCTGATGATGATGATGATGAATACCGAATATGGCAGATGTAAAGCTAGCAAAAGAGCCACGAGTGTATCATGAGTGGGGCATGTAGTCAGCTGTTACATGACACGCGTGTCATGTTTACAATGTTTGCACCATTATCATACCTTGTTTATTCATTCACGACCTGTAATACCAAATTTGGTATATGTGACGCTAGCGAAACGGCCGCAACGCATCATGAGCGCGGCATGTAGTCATGTTGTTACATAACACGCTTCTCACGATTATCATGTTTGCATCAGTCACATACCTTCGTCATCCATTCAAGTACCGTAATACGGAATTAGGTATATGCGACGCTACCGACGTGGTCGCGAGCGCATCATGAGCGTAGATTGTAGTCATGTTGTTACATGACACGCATGTCATTATTTCCATGTTAGGGTCTGTTGCTTGTGTTCGCCATGCAATCATGTCATACCATAGCAGATCTGAATCATGCCATGTGAACAATACCGCCGCAAGAGCACAGGATCATGAATTGTATATCATGACATTCTTGACATACATTTGATGATTTTCATGTTATGACTAGTCAGATATGTTTTTGTACAGTAATGTTATGCCGTACCAAGTTTGGTACCGGTACCATTATCGAAACGGCCAAGAGAGCCAAAAGTCGTAGGTGGCTAGATAGATAGATAGATAGATAGATAGATAGATAGATAGATAGATAGATAGATAGATAGATAGATAGATAGATAGATAGATAGATAGATAGATAGATAGATAGATAGACAGAGACAGACAGACAGACAGACAGACAGACAGACAGACAGACAGACAGACAGACAGACAGACAGACAGACAGACAGACAGACAGACAGACAGACAGACAGACAGACAGACAGACAGACAGACAGACAGATAGATAGATAGATAGATAGATAGATAGATAGATAGATAGATAGATAGATAGATAGATATAGATAGATAGATAGATAGATAGATAGATAGATAGATAGATAGATAGATAGATAGATAGATAGATAGATAGATAGATAGATAGATAGATAGATAGATAGACAGATAGACAGACAGAGAGATAGATAGATAGATAGATAGATAGATAGATAGATAGATAGATAGATAGATAGATAGATAGATAGATAGATAGATAGATAGATAGATAGATAGATAGATAGATAGATAGATAGATAGATAGATAGATAGATAGATAGATAGATAGATAGATAGATAGATAGATAGATAGATAGATAGATAGATACGCTCAAAGTCGCCGACGTTCGCTAAGAAATGCTTCGCATTTAAAATGGTGACAGGTGGTGGTGGTAGCGAGCCAGTGGTGTTGACGGTGGAAAATACCGGCTGATGGTGGCAAGGCAAACCGTGTTTGGTGGAAGGCTTGGTGAGCAAGGTGGATGACGATGGCGTGATGGAAGCTTGGTGGATGATGGTGCCATCATGAAAAAGCACGTGAAAGTTTGTGAAATCACCTATGTGTGTTGTTTCATTTTTGAATGCGCAGAGATATATGTTTAGTCAAATAAAACCAACGCTGCAGATTACGTTTTTAGCACGTCTATTTGTTTTTTATTCCTGTTGTGTCAACAACGCTTCAATTCTTGTTGAGCGTATAATATGCGGCCGTGCATATATGCTTACATTTCGTGACGTACATACATCGTCTTGACATCGGCGATGTGTTTTTTTTTCTTGTGTTGTTTAGAAGACTAGAGATGTCACTGTGAACAGTGACAATAAATGTTTTACATCAGCGCGCAGTTTTCGAGAAATAAATGAGCTCTAGTTCGCAATTGCCCTTTCAATGTTAGAGCAGAACACAGTGGTCACTTGATGTCGCCACGCTAGAAGCGCGACTCTGGCAGTTCTTGCACACTCTATTGCTTGAGCCGTTCCTTTAAATTAACAAAGTGCGTGCAACTATGCATAAACATTCACTTTCACCCCGCCGCGATGGTCTAGTGAATAAGGTACTCGGCTGCTGACCCGCAGGTCGCGGGATTGAATCCCGGCTGCGGTGGCTGCATTGTCGACGGTGGTGGAAATGTTATAGGCCCGTGTGCTCAGATTTGGGTGCACGTTAAAGAACCCCAGGTTGTCGAAATCTCCGGAGCCCTCCACTACGGCGTCTCTCATATTCTTAGGTTGGTTTTGGGACGTTAAATTCCACGTATAAATCAAATTTTCACTTTCAACTTGCGTCGAAACGAGCCCCAGTGCAATTGACTTTCACCCTTCTGTTCTACCACAATGATTCCCACCAAACGTTAGTCCTACCGACCAAGCCCGTACAAGTGTTGATCAGTGCTTCTGGGTTTCAAGATACACAATTTTGACGAGTAAAAATGACAATACAGCACAGCTGCGGCTTCGTTTACCCTAAATAAAGCCTTTTTTGTTGTGTACGGTGTCCGCGCAAGAAGGGACAAACATCGATGCGACGCGCTTGCAGCACTTCCACCAAATGTACGCCTCCTCTCACCGACAGCCGCCGGTCGCACTCACCGGCACTTCACTGGCTCTTATGCGAGAACACCGACTCGTCAATTCGTATCCTTACTGAACCAATATGATTGCATATTGTAGTAACACAGGCGCGCGCAGCGAAGAAGCAAGGACGATGGTCGGGCAGTCAACGACAGCGTTTATTTTCCGCCGCGTGGTTATATACATTGGCACTAGGAGAGGGTGAAGGAAGGGGGGAAAGAGGGAGGTTGAAGGCGCACAGGGCCCAAACGAAATGGTGCGCGCGCAGCTGGTTTTGCTGGCGTTACAAACGAAACAAATACATTTCTTTCCTCTTAAAAGTGGAACCGTTGTACCGGGTTCTTAACTCTTGTCGATCGCCTCAGCGTTGGCTGATGCGGGACCACCTCAGGCGAGTGTTCGTCCGTAGCGACTGGAGGTTTCGTAGCAGCTGGTGGGGAAAACTCACTCCGACCGTCCCCGTAGTTGCAGGCTCCGGCGTCGATTCGCGGCGGCGGCGGACTTGGTCGATATGACGCCGCACTAACCCTCTTGGTGTGTCCACTGCTATCATTCTCGCCCCCAACGCAGCTTTTACGCGTCCAGGCGTCCATCTTTTGCCGGCACTGTAGTTGCGCACGTAGACGCTGCTTCCTGGCGAGATGGTCCAATCGTCAGCACCCGGCGACTAGTTCTCATCCCTGGGCGGCAGGCAGGTGTCAAGACGAGACCGCAGCTGGTAACCGAGAAGCATCTCCGAGGGTGACTTCTCTTCTTTTTGCGGGGTCCTCCTGTAATGGAATAGCAGGCGCATGATGTTATCTTCTAGTGGGCCATCTTGCATTTTCCGCAAGCCATCCTTAAGGGTTCGCACTGCTCTCTCCGCTGCTCCATTCGACTGAGGATGGAAAGGCGCTGAACGCAAGTGCACAATATTGTTTCTTGCTACAAACGTGGTGAACTCCTGGCTCGTAAATTGCGTGCCATTATCGGACACGATTGTGCGTGGCACTCCGAACCGACAAAACAGACTTCGTAAGCAGCGAATAGTACCCGCTGTGTTCGCGTGCATCATAGGTATTGCTTCAATCCACTTCGTGTGAGCATCTACCACTACAAGTATCATCTTGCCGGCTACTGGGCCCGCAAAATCGATGTGGATCCGGGACCACCTCTCGGCCGTTTTCGGCCGACTCACCGGTGGTGCTGCCGCAGGCATGGGCAGGTTTTTTACACAGCTTACACACTGCGCCGACAATTCCTGAATCTACCTGTCCATCCCTGGCCACCAAAACAGTGACCGTGCCACCGCTTTCATTGACGAGGAGCATTGGTGTGTTTCATGTAGCAGCTGCAACATCCTTTTCTGCGCCTTCCGTGGTATGACGACTCTGTTGCCCCAATAGATTAGCCGGTGAGCCATCGACAGCTCCATTTTGCGATCAAAAAGGGGCAGCAAGTCGGGCACCATTCCCCTCGTTGTTCGAGGCCAGCCATGCAAGATGTAATCCGCGACACGGGCTAACAACGAGTCCTTGGCAGTGAGCTCCTGCAACTCGTGCGTCGTCACTATACCTTCGTCCAGGGCCTCCACCGACAGGACGTACTCCAGGAGGCTCCCCTTCGGCTACTGGTTCCGCTGCCGCCGGGGCTGGTAGTCTGCTGAGGGAATCTGCTGTCAGTAGTTGTTTCCCCGGAACGTACTGTAGCTTGTACTGGTAGCCTCCTAGGAACAGTGCCCACCGTTGAATGCGCGTGGCGGCCATCGGCGGCGTTTGGCGGTCAGGCTTGAGCAGTCCCAGCAGTGGCTGATGGTCGGTTACCAGGGTGAATTGCCGACCTAGGAGGTAGTCACGAAAACGAGAAGCGCCAAAAATCAGTGCCAAGGCTTCTCGCTCCAGCTGAGAGTAGTTTCGCTCCGCTTTTGTTAACGTTCTTGAGCGAAAACCGATTGGTCTGTGCTCATTTCCCGCCGAGTGAAACAGAACAGCACCCACGCCATACGGGGAAGCATCACATTCTAGCTTTAGTTCCTTGTTGGGATCAAAATGAACGAGAAGCTGCGCATTCTTCAACATTTCTTTCGCTTTCTCGAACGCCGAATGCTGCGGTTCCTGCCATTCCCAACGGGCTCGTTTTTCCATGAGCCGATACAAGGGGCTGAGCACAGTCGACATGTTGGGCAGGAAATGTGCGTAGAACGTGAGCATGCCAAGGAACGAGCGCAATTCGCTAACGTTACGCGGGCGCGGGGCTTGCATGACGGCGTCTACGTTCTTTTCAATGGGGTGGAGGCCTTGCCGATTTATACGATGGCCAAGGTAAGTCACAGAAGGTTGCCGAAGCTTGCATTTGTCAATCCTAAGTTTAACGCCGTGCTCTCGGAACCGCTCTAACACTCTCTTGAGCTGCTCTCCGTTATCACTCTAGCCTTCTGACACTAGCACGTCGTCAAGGTAGGCTTGAACACCCGGCAGCCCGCCGAGTACTGCATCCATCTTTCTTTGAAAAATGGCCGGTGCGGAAGCTATTCCAAACGGAAGTATGTTATACCGGAAAAGCCCTCGGTGAGTGTTAATGACACACAGCCCGCTGGACGCTTCGTCAAGGGGCACTTGATTGTATGCATCTTTTAAATCCAAGATACTGAAATATTCGCCTCCGTTTAAGCTTGCGAACATGTCCTCTATCACCGGAAGAGGGTAATGCTCCACCTCACATGCCGGGTTAAGGGTAACCTTAAAGTCACCGCATATCCTCACGCTCCCGTCCTTTTTCAAAACGACCACAATAGGTGTAGCCCATTCTGCATGTTGCACGGGCGATAGAACACCAAGTGACACCAGCCGATCAATTTCACGAGAGACCTTATCGCGGAGGGCGTAAGGAAGAGATCTGGGCTTACAGAATTTCGGTGTCGCTATCTCCTTGAGTTTTAGGCTGGCTGGTGGACCTTTGATTAGTCCAAGGTCTGTTGAGAAAACATCCTCGAACTCGCCGAGCAGTCGGTTCAGCATAGGGTCGATTGGCTCGGCGCTTGCTGTAGGGTCCGGCGCAGTCAGGTCTCCAATGAAAACGCCCGTCTTGCTAAGCAAAGCAATGAGATCGCGGCCACATAGGCTGGGTCCTACACAGTCAAGCACGATGAGCGGGCAAGGCACAGCTACATTTTTATACTTCACTGGGAGTTCGAGTTCCCCCAACACCGGAAGCTGTCCTGTGTAACATGACAGCTTGATTCGTGGTGGTTGTAAGCGCGGCCACTGTGCGTGGTGTCGATCGTACACTTGGCGTGATACGACGCACACCGGGGAACCAGTATCCACTTCCATGGCAAGGTCTACGTTGCCCCATCGAAACGTGCTGCGTATGGGCGGTTCCAAACCGTTTTTTCTTCCCGAAATCAACGTCCAAACGTGTGCGCTATCCAGGTCGTCGTTGCTAGACGCGCTTTCAACTGTCAGTGCCTTTACACTCGCTGCCCGCTTTCCCACCTTTGCATCAGTTGGAGCACTGTAGCATTTCTTTGCCAAATGACCGCGCCGCCCACAGTGATAGCAGCGTGCGTTAACCCAGCGGCATGCGTTATCGTCGTGCTTCGGGCTTCCACATCGGCCGCAGTCATGCGCCGCGCCTAGTGTACGATTACCTCGAGAGGGCGAGCGATGATGGGCTTGCATTTTTAGCACAGTCGGCGGCTCTGCAATCATACCTTTTGCATCGCTGTCGGTGGCCTCGGCTGCAATGGACATTGATTCAGCCTCCTCGAGAGTTAAATCTTTCTGTACCAGTAACTGCTTGCGCAAGTTAGTTGAGCGTACGCCGCAAACAATCCTGTCCCTCAACATCCGGTTCAGCGCACTTCCGAAGTTGCAATTGTCTGCTATGCGCCGTATTTCGACTAGGAATGCGTGCACAGACTCTCCTTCTTGTTGGCAACGAGTAAAAAACTTGTTGCTTTCTGCAATCTCGTGACGCTTGGGATCGTAGTAGTCATTTATAGCTGCGACCGCTTCGGCGTAAGTAAGGGAATTCGGCGTCCGAGGTGCAATTAGCCCCGCTAGCACTTGTACAGTCTGCGTGCTGAGTGCTGCCACCAGAAGTGCTCTCTGCCTTTTGGAGTCAGTAATAGCATTTGCTTCAAAATACGCTTCAGCCCGAACAAGGTATGGTTTCCACTTATCTCTTGTGTCGTCGAAAACCGGGAGCTTGAGGCTGGTCATTGTCGCCGGTACTTGTTGCGGTAGGCCGTCGGCTTCAACTTTCACGGCAGCATGGGTGGTTTCCGGGCTCGTCGCCACTGTAGTAACACAGGCGCGCGCAGCGAAGCAGCAAGGACGATGGTCGGGCAGTCAACGACAGCGTTTATTGGCCGCAGCGTGGTTATATACATTGGCATTAGGAGAGGGTGAAGGGAGGGGGGAAAGAGGGAGATTGAAGGCGCATAGGGCCCAAACCAAATGGTGCGCGCGCGGCTGGTTTTGCTGGCGTTACAAACGAAACAAATACAACACATAATGTTTCTGACACACTGCGTTCGTTTTGACCAAGTGGTTATGTAGTTGTTCCTAACGAAAGAGCAACAGCACTGCGCTGGCACGACTACGCTGTGCGTTACGCGAAAAACATCACAATCAATTGTGTGGGCGTGTCTATCGAATGAGCATAGAAGCGTCATAAAGCCTGAACAGATATCGCCCTTTCGAACGAGCGACAAACGGATGATTACACTTGGCAGTAACCCCCGATCTACCTGCTCCTCAGTCCACTGAGTTGTTTTTTTTTCTTGCGGTTGTATTGTAACAATAACATAGCGCTGTTGCCATTATCGCAGTGGCGATCGTTACAGGCAGCAGTTGTTCGTGTTTATCAAATGTGTAAATTTTAGTACCAGGTGCAGATCCCGTCCATCTCGAGTAAGCGACAAACAGAACTGAAGTTAAACAGTGAGCTTGTGAGTTGACAACATCTTTACCACAACAGTTGCCATCTGTCGGCGTGGCGCAGTGGTTTGTGTGCTCAGACGGGCACCCGAAGGTGGCAAGTTCGATTCCGCGCGGTGGCTCGTTTTTTTGTTTACGGATGCTTTCTATATTGTTTTATAAAATTATTTTATTATTTCCTTAGTGGCAGCTCATCACGATGGTTCTGACGCTGTTTCGCGCTCTAGCATTGCGGGCTGGAGCGTGCCATCTACCATCCACTCCACAATACGCCACCATACACCATGTGGCACCAACAATTCCAGCACCATAATCCACCAACATAGTGGGTGGTGCAATCCACCATTCCTGTAGTGGACGTGTTTTCAATAGGGTATGTATGTATGTATGTATGTATGTATGTATGTATGTATGTATGTATGTATGTATGTATGTATGTATGTATGTATGTATGTATGTGTGTGTGTATGTATGTATGTATGTATGTATGTATGTGTGTGTGTGTGTGTGTGTATGTATGTATGTATGTATGTATGTATGTATGTATGTATGTATGTATGTATGTATGTATGTATGTATGTATGTATGTATGTATGTATGTATGTATGTATGTATGTATGTATGTATGTATGTATGTATGTATGCGCGGCTCATGGATCGTACTCACACATAAAATGTAAATTGCGAGCCTAATAAATGACTTCGGGGTATGAAAGCTGCACTCGCATGACTGTGTTATAAACTGGTCGACAAAGGGTCTCCCAACCACTCCAGTTACAAAGAAGAGAAAGCGCTTACTTTCTCGCATTCGCGACACTTTCTACTGGTCATATCCCCTATTCGCAACCTATATTTCTTAAAAAAGCACAGTGTTATCAACACTACCGACTTGCTGCATGAGGACACTCCGTTTTACGGCTACAATTTGTCATCTCCTCCAGTGAAGTCGGAAACGTCCAAAACGAAGTGAAAGTGAGTTGATCGCGAACGATATACAAGAGCGAGACAAAGCAGGACGTGTGCATGACTGAACAGTGAAGCGTGCTAGTACAACATTGAGGTGTGACATCCCTCAAGTATGGATGAATCGTGAGCTTGTACAAAAATGACGTCTCGTTAATAGCCTTGCTGGCGTCACCAAGTGCCAAGTGAAATGCAGATGCTAGGGAAGAACATCCTGCTCGCTCTTTCTATTTGTGGGGTTCATTTAGGAGTCATTTCAACGGATACTGACACCAATTTTCGAAATGAAGTTTACTCTGTCATAAGAATATCCTTTGCACACGGACAGCTCTGAGCAAGTGTAACGCTCAGTATATATGTAGAAGGACTTCATTTTGACATTAGCATTGGCTTCTGCGTGACACATTTGCCGACGTCAACACTACTGTGAGGCTTTGTGAGAAAGTGAAGTAGTTAGCGTTCCACAGTGTCAAAACTTAAGCGCAAAATCCACACAGTGTACAAGGGAACGATGAGGACCAGCACTAACTTATTATACCAATACACAAATATATACCTTCTGTCTCAAGATATGAAAACCAAATTCGTCAAAGCGCAAAGTGATGATACAAACTTAATCCAAACAACAGTTTCCGGAGATACCAGACGACGAAGAAGGAGTGATCGTGGGCTGCTCAGATACTGGGCTGCTCAGCACTGCCTCTTCGGTGAGCGCCAAGAAGTGCGTGCCGCAATATCATAATCATGAACAGTTTAGTGTTCGTTTGTCGCCATTAAAGGTTTTCTGTCGTTTGTCTCACAGCTCCATCTGTCTGGCGGTGCTTCACCTAACGAAGACCGGCGTTCCACGACAAATGGTGCCGAAAGCCCAAGGAACGACGAGCGCCTCCCACCACCATGGACAACGAGCGACGATTACTAGGAGTTCCTATTAGAAACCCCAACCCGGGCAACCTGATCCTCATCTGAACCGCACTCAGGGAAGCAACGAGTAGAATGGGCTACATTACGAGCAAGTAAGCCATATTATTAACGACATGGACCGCCTGAAAGCTAAAGGCGCTGATAGACGAACGCAGTTAACGAAGGTCATGAAGGAGGTGACGACGCTGTTAGAAAGCAACTACCGAACGAATGGAGTTAAGCAAGGTGTAGACAAGCTGGTCGCAAGCCGTGACGAGCTTTGAGAGATCAACACCAAATACGAGGACGTCATTCCAGTCCAGGAACTAGAAAAAGTATACAATTCTACAGGGCATTACGACGACCAAGCACTTGAGACTCTGACGGGCCAACGGGGCCATGTTGCCTGCCCCAACCACAGCTGCGTTCCAGAACTTAACTTTGGGCCACGTCTGCCAACGCTGACGATCAAGCCATTTCGTGGAGATAAGTGTCAACTGACATCGTTTTGGGAGCGTTTCTACGGAACTGTGCATACAAAGCCGACTCTCAGCACGACCGATAAATTTCATTATCTGCGAAACTACCTCGTAGGTCAAGCTGAAGCTGCGATTGCGGGGCTACCAACGACGGAATCGTGCTTTGAGAGTGCTATGAGAGGTTCGGGGACAAGAGCAGGATTATACAGCAGCATTTCAGAGCTCTTCGTGAACTGGTACCGGTGGCGTCTTCATCAGATACAAAAAGGCTGCACAATCTTTACGATGAAGTATAAATGAAATTTTCGCTGCCTCAACGCCCTAGACGTCCCAACCAGCAGTTTTTTTTTCGATGCTCTACGACGTTCTGCTTCAAGCCATGTCGCAAGAAATCATCGTCGCGTTACACCGCTATAGACGTCTCCATGACAAAGCACTGGAAACATCTGCTTCAGCGCAGATACCCACAACGTATTACGAGGAACTTGGACAGTTACTTCGATACACATAGAGCTCAAAACAAGAGAGCAGTGTAATTCATCGATGCTCTCTATGAGATCTACTAACAAACACAGAAAACATATACCATCGGCATCGGTCCTACATGAATCAAGAGAATTGACGTGATCACGCCACGAATGCTGCTTTTGCTAGTCTGCAGAACACGAAACTAAAGCATGCAGCACTACCTTGACCATATCATAGAAAAAAAAACACCTGGCTAAATCTGTGGTGCTGTTGGTGTACTAAGAAGGGCCACCACGCGAACGAGTGCCGGAGGAGGGTCGTGCGCGCATAATGCAAAGGCGGGCATGCTTCAACAGTGTGCAACACTGATTATTGCGCGAAAAGAGGCGAGAAGTCACCCCATGACGTCTCTGATACCATCAAGTCTCACGAAGCAGAGGGTCCGCAGTTGACTGACGTAACGAGTTGTCAACTGAACGAAGCCATCAATTTGCAGACCTTTCGTTCTTGAATCGATGGTTCCAACGAGTAAGGTTGCACGGCGGGCTTGTTGGTTATTCATGTTGTTCGAGGTATAGCGCATCGAGGACGGGACAGAGAGACATCTTGCATCAGATGCATCATCGATGGAGGCTGTCAACGCACGTTCATTAAAGTAGGTCTCGCGTGAGGCTCATGGGACTGAGGATCTATAAATAAACTTGTCTATCTATAAAAACACTTGCGGCAGATGCCCCTTGTAGTGTGAGAACATGCAATGTCGCCTGAGGAGCCAGTTTAACAACAACAAGCACGTCATCGAAGCTCTAGCAATGCCAGTAACTTGCAAAGACATCTCTACCATGGCTATGAAATGCTCTTTCACAGCCAACTCACGCAAGCAGAATTACAGGCTGGCATACATTCAAACTGTGCCTCAACAGTGCTGCGAGACGGGCATTACCCTGCTCATGGGATCAGATCAATTATGAAAGATTGTGAGTGGACACCATACGCAGCAGGGAAGTGCAAGTTACGGTCGCGGTCAAGACCACGCACGGACGGACACTCTAAAACCTTTTCTCCAACACGAGCGTCATGAGCGGGACATCCGGAGTGATGACCTGCGTTCTGCGAGCCCAAACTAAAGTAACTGAATGATTAGACAAAAGCATATCGAAGTGTTTCTCAACGCTAGATTCTATTAAAATGGCACCTCAGGAAGCAGCTCGCAGGCACTCTGAGGCCTTGTACATTTTTCAGAGTGACATAGGAAAGAATAGAACTCTGTACCAAGTAGCCGTGCCACGTTAACACCAGGACATAGCACTGTTAGAAGATGTCTCCAACGTTAAGTTAGTTGGTAAGACAGATAGACACGTCGAAGCTGAAGAAACATTCTCAACTGAGACATTGGATCCGCATTTTAAAACAGAATTGTCCCATGATGAAAGAAGTTGGCTACTAACAGAAAATGGTTCGTACAAT